AATTAATCGCATTTTTAATCACATATAAATATTTGACCTGAGAACAGTGAGAAGCAATTTTTTTCACATGGATTTTAGTATACCATTGAATAATGACTGAATACATAAGCTTAAGCAACAAAACATTGTTTATTTTTTTCAAGGTGGTACACTGGCCATAAAGTGTAGCAATAGCATATTTAGGAATATAGTACATTTCAGAGATTCAGGTAGCCTATAGGTAGGTAGACCTTCTGTAAACTATAACACTTTGTTTTTGAAGTAAAACACAATACTTTCAAGTACATTCAGAACATTGGAAACCCTGACTATTAGAAAACATCTCTCTGTTGCTTCAGAGGCCATAACAGACTTTGTTGATTTACCAACAGTTGATTTAAAAATGGGTGTGGGCCCTTGTAGGTCCACGCTAGCTTCCAGGCTAGCTGCTATATGTTTTGCATTGAGGTGATACTTGAGGCTTGATGTGCTGCGGTGATATGCGAATTCCTTTTTGCATAATTTGCAAACAACCGTGCTCTTATCGATGCTTCCATCCGTCCGTTTTTTAAAACAAAATGTCCCATCCACGGGGCCAACCAAAGCGATCTCATCAGCTTCTTCGTTCACGTTTGACTATTGTTCACTGTGGTTTGTTGTTGTCTGAAGTCATGAACGTTAGTTGGTGCTCCAGTATAATCGGTACCCCTGAAACTCATCCAGTGAGAAACGTTCCCAATGCAAAAATAAGTGCGATTAAAATGCGTTAATTTTTGTGTAATTAATTAATCTTAATTAACGCGTTAAAGTCCCGGCCCTAAATGTAATATATGTTTACATGCATATTGAAGAAGTACAATATAAGCACAAGTTTCATTTGGGGGCCATCTTTCCTTATACTTTTTTTATTTGATGAGGGCCGATTCAAAATGGTCCGTGGGCCGCATTTGGCCCCCGGGCCGTAGTTTGGACACCCCTGTCATATAGGGACTAGGGAGGACTTTGACTAAAATTATTTATTTTTTGTACGTTTCACTTTACGAGTTACTTCCTCTCCATGTGAGTTTTTGGCCAACAAAATAGGAAAAATCTGTTATTTTTGTACACATATTTGTCATATGTGTTCTTCTGATACCAGCTCCCTGTGTTCAGTCCCCTGAAGTGTTGCTGTAAACTAAAAACAATTGGCAGCGACCGTATCATTTTCCTTCCCTTTGTCACCACACAAACACAATCTCAATCCCCCTTTCAAGCGCCATTTCCTCTCCTGTCGTCCCCTTGAGGTTTTCCTCCGCCCAGATGTTTGCCCACTCTCAATTGATGCACTTGATTGGTTTGTTAAAGGGGAAATATGGACGGGGAATTCAGCGGTCCCTTCCAACCCATTTCCTCCCAACTGGAATGGCTGCTGCTATAGATTTGATTCTTGGTGCCAGTGTATGTAAATGTTTAGACTGTCTTTTATTTGTTGCTCCTTTGACCCTGGTTGTTGTTGAGTGATGGCTCGCCTTCACTGCAGCTGTTTTGACTCTGGAGTATTTTAGATGTAGGTTTAGACCGGTGGTTCACACTGTGGTAAAACAGGCACGAATGTTTACTGACTTGCTTGTTTTTCACCTCCTCCCCTACTACCACTCCTATTTCTTCCCTCCTCTCTTTCCCACTTGTGTCCTCTCTCCTCCCTCCCTCCCTCAGTGCCCCGAGTGGTAGCAGTGTCGCCTCAGATGCGTCTGGTAGAAGACAACCCTTCGTCTCTGTCTCTGGTGGAAATCTACAAACAGCGCTGTGCCAAGAAAGGAATCGAACACGACAACCCCATCTCCAGATATTACGATCGCCTGGCCACGGTGCAGGCCAGAGGCACACAGGCCAGCCACCAGGTACACACACGAGGATCATAACAACACATTTGCATTATGCAGCACAAGTGTGACTTAATTTGATGGCCCGCGTTGACATTCCTCCCAGGTGATTGAATTGTAATTAAACGGTAGCTTCATGCAGCCGTGTCATCAAGGAATCAAACTATGTCCATGCCGTCAGCTTTTCATTAGCTGAGGATACGAGCTTTTATTTAGTCTAAGATAAAGAATAATCTAATAAGGAATATTAACAATATTCAGATTTAAACATGCATGGTTTTCAGTGTGACAAGGACAGTTTGCTAGTGGCTTTGTCTGCTCAATCAAAGTGAATTTGCATGCTGCTAGATAAACCAGTCACAGATAATAGATGCGTTCTTTATTCAAATGCAACATAAATCCTTCCTCGACTGATTGGCTACTACTTGATGTTTGGTGAACTGTAAAATAATGATAATTGTCACTGTTAATGACCTAAATTATCCATGAAATGAAAAAAAATGAACCCATCCAGACCTCCCACATATATTAGTATAAGCTTTTAGTGGCTGCATTGCATCCATTGTTTTAAGTCTCTTTGCACTCTGACTGTAACATACAATAACCTAAAAAAATATAAGCTGTAAATTAATCATCTACTCTTGGCCTCTGCATTAAAATAGCCCACTGTGTATATGAAATAATGTCTGAAAGGTGCTATTGGAGAAGAAGATTGACTGGTGGAATACACACAGTTACAGAGAGGATCATTGGAGGCTCTCAAAATGCTGACGCCCCCCCCCCCCCCCCCCTCACTGTCTACCACAACAAGGTCCTGCGGGACATCCTGAAGGATGGTGCAGGGTAACATGGATGCCCGCAGCATGCGAAGGAGTGGGAACTCTGCACACCCTTCCC